GGGCATATCGACAGTGTTTAAGGAACCGACGACTATGGATCCCCGGGGATTCAACCAGTCGTCAATTCAAGGAGGCCCTTCACGTCACACTCAACTTACAAAATCGAAATACTCAGCTCTTGGAGGACAAGCAAGACAATTTTTCCGTGGCTTTGTTTGCTCATGAATTCCCACTCTTTCATGGACAGGAACGTTACTCTCCATTAACTAACCGAGCACAGCATATTCTTCTTGAATCTTTGCCCAATAACACAGTGGACATTGTGGTGCTGTATTTATATGTCCACTTCAATTTAGTCCACCCGGACATATACCGCCAACATGTTCAGCGACTTGTTCGGGCAGCTACGTCTCTCCTTAAACGGGCACCTGGTGTCACACTTGCTGTTCGAGGACCCTTTGCTTATTACAGGAATCCGGCTCAAGAGCTTGTGGCCTATTGGGGACTGCTATATACAGATATATTGCATGAGGAGTTTTCATCTATTGCACACAGAGTGGTGTATATAGACTACTGGGATATGACGGTGGCCTTGGGCCAAACCACATTCATCCAGATACATCAACGGTTAGAACTATGGTTCACTATATGATGTCTCTTCTCTGTCATAGACGGGTGGGGAATACGACTTAACCAGCCGATGCCATTGCCTTAATTCGTCAGCTGATCCGTCTCCCCTAGGTGTGCTCATCAATTGTTCCAATCCACGATTTGCCCTCAGTTCAAATCCCTGGTCTGTGAACATTCCAACGACCCCGTGTTAACCGTCCACGACTTTCTCCAATTGGTTTTGTTGAAAAAGAGCATCTCTTTTCCGCCCATTGTACGTTTGAACATTTTTACCCTTTTCTGACACTTGTTGGACACTCATCAATTAACCAATTGTAATTCATTTCCGTCAAATGCCCATATACCGGAAAAGCGACGTATTCGTTGTTGTAATGTCCTTTCATAATGATTTCTTTTCAAATGATTGCTCAAATATGTTACAGTATGATGACTTTCAGTGATAGGAGATATAGGGGGAATGTATTCTAGTCACGTGTTATATCTGTTTTCAACTCTACTCAAATAGTTCAGTACTCTAATCAGTCGACTGAAGCGAGTGCCCAGTTATGGTTCTTTATTAAATATCAAAATCAGCATTAAAGAGACAAAATATCTGTCAGACACAAAACGGTTCGAGGACCTTGCATATTACAGAGTCCAGCTCAAGAGCCTGTGTCTTTTGACTACAGATATCCATGAGGAGTTTTCATCTATTGCACACACTCGTTCACACTGAGTTCTGCCTACATATCCTTACCACACATTTAGCCCCTACCCCGATCTCTTTAATCCCATAATAGCACCTACCACTAAACCAGTTGGCTCCAGAACCTCAGACTACCCCTGGCACGAGCATCAACCCTCTGAGACTAATCATACGCCGACAGTGACCCCAGTATTAAACTAATGGTAGTCTCTGAACATATATATATGTACCTCGTCATAAATATCTCACCAACAGCTTTTTTCACTTAGTAAAACTGGATTTACAACCTCATAAAAATGGTGCTTACAAAAGCACATTAAACTGTTTAGATGGCATCATGTGAACAACACAAGACCGAATTGAAGGTTTAATCGTAGCAAACCAAAGTTCACTAAAGTCACCGTAAAATACGGTGCAATAAGTATGACTGCCCGGGTCATTACAACAGACACACAACACAGTTAACATTTCATTAATGTTGAACATGGTAAGGTCCACAATGACTGGCTAACGGTGTCGCCTGATACATTTTCTACATGCCGTCGCATGCTGGCCACCAGACGTCTGATTGGTCTCTGCCATTCATTATGCAATACATGGGTCAATTCCTGACGGTTCTGAACTGGAGGTTCCCTTGCTCTCACCCTACGTCCCAAAATGTCCCACAAATGCTCAATAGGATTCATGTCTGGACTTCTGGCTGGCCATGGTAGTGTCTGGCGTTGTGTTGGAGATGCTGAACAACAGCTCGAGCACGATGTGGTCTGGCAGTATCGTCCACGAAGACTTGACGTGTAGCGAGAGCATGGCTATAGAAATGAGGCACAACAGCACCGTCCAGGATCAAGTTCTGCTACCTCTGTCCATTCAATGCCCCGGGAACTGTGATGAGGTCAAGTTTACAATCATAGGAACAACTTCCCCACACCATGACGGATCCACCCCCAAATGGAACTTAAGCTTGAATCGTCCTCTGATCATATGCTGTGCCTCTGTGCCTCCAAACTCGTGCCCTCCCGTCTGTATGATACAGAAATGATAAAAAAACGGCTCTCATCGGACCAGTGGATCCTTCTCCATGTTCTCATGTTCCAGCGAGCACGTGCTTGGCAGCAGGCTAAACGGGCATAGCGGTGCAACTTTCTGAGGAGTGGACTTCTGATTGGTCGTTTTGCTCTCAATCCTGCAGAATTTAGGCGTCGTCTGATGGTGCTGATGGACACTCTGTTGTGTGGATGCCATCCATGTCGCAGCTGTGTACAGGTAAAGCACGATCTTCCCTGTCCTAGGTTTTTCTGGGACGTCCAGACCTCGGTGCATCCTCACTTCACCGGTAGCATCATGCTTACGCATCAACCTCCTGATGACAGTGTGATTAATGTTCCGTTGTGCTCCAATAGCACGAAATGACATACTAGTTTGGTGCATACCAATAATTTGCCATCCTTGCTTGGGCTTTTCACTAGTTGGTCACAATAAAGCTTAATTTATGCCTAAAATCAAATTTTAGCTGTGTCTGCCAACATAACATACGCCAAAAGAGGATATGTGCATACTGCATTTACAGCAAACCGACCCCGGAACATGCATGCTTAAGGCATGCATGCACTTGCAGTTCGGAACAGGGTCTGTTTGTGATGTTATGGTCACAGATGGTGTTGTATATTACATATCTAGGTGTACTATAAAAAAACGAAAATGATAGTTCTACTTTGACTTTCAAATGGGTGGTGCAATACTTTTGACGAGGTGCATATATAGTTTTCACAGGGACCAATGATTCCAATTAATTTGAAAAGGAGCCCCAGTGTGACGCGTGATTTAGAACCTGGGGTAAATCTATCCTGATCCATTTAGGCTTTCGCTTTGGAGACGGACTGTGAGATGAATACCAAAATCAACAACTAAATTACTGCTGAATTCAACCCCCTACCCCTGCGACCCCCAATCACGATCCCGGCTGCCATGAACTCCCGACCGAACGCATGTTTCTCACCCCTCTACACTTAATGATCCCAACTCACGCTATCCTAACCTTGGCTCTTATCTCAGCCCTACCCCGATTGTATTTCCACATTTGCTCCCCCGTCCCGTCTTCCACAGAAATTCCTACTTGCCATGTTGGTTGCCATGTTGGCCTAACCCTATAAAGCGTGACATGCATGCCTTAGACACATGTCCATTAAAGCCTGAAATCCAATACAGCTCGGATTTCAAAAGCAGAGACCAGACCTTATAGTCACAGCCAACGTGTCAGTGGTGAACATCGGGTACAACCCAACTTCACAAATGAGTCGGACTAGATCATGTTTTCTTACCCTATGCATATTGACCGTGACTGTTATTGTGGTATATATATGGAAGAACAAGCAGAGACTTGAGGACAAATTCAGGTAATTACTATATACACAAACATGGAAAATATATGTATTATTTTAGCCAAAGTGACGAGACCAATTTCAACCATGTACACCAAAAATAACCAATAATTCAAATGGTGAAATGCTAAATCCACTTCTCTCCCCATATAAGTGGACAAAAAGTGGATTATCAATTTTAATGTTCCATAAATAATCATATTTTTTGTGTGGATGCAAACAGGTACGATATTATATTATTTACTAAATCATTTATTGAAACAGTGTCATTGATCATGTAGAAACAGATGAACAATGATAACACTACATTTCACTTCATTTAAAAATACGAAACGGACTTGGATCAACAGTTAATGCTAAACACATATAGGCTTGAACACAGTGTTCGCATTTCAGGGTAATATGTTGGCTCCTGTTGGCGGTACAGTCAGTTATTTTTAAAGGACTCCCGTTTTATCTTTGACCTTGTTACAGCTGAGTTTGATTAAATATTCCCCTGCCCAGGGGACGTAAACTGTGCTCTATATTACCTTCCCGTGTTCAAACAACACAAGATTAATTTAATGATTTGAATGTTGCACTTGCTTTACTGGTTTTTGTCAAGTCATACTTATTTGGTTTGTTGCATGTGATTATTAATAAATAACTTGCGTACTTGGTTAAATTGGTCAAGTTTTCTAGATTTGATTTTAACTGGTGAATTTGATGTGGTTGATTTCATAAATTCATTGATGGGACATTTGATAGACAGGTCGATTAATTGATCGATTGGTTGGTTGGTTGTTTGGGGACAATTTCGGTTGTTTGTTTGTTGGTTTGTTTTTTTTCGCTGGAAGATGTATTGGTTGGGTGCATAGGTGGGTGTCTAGGAGGTTGGTTGGGTGAGTGGGTAGAAGATTGGTTAGTTGTTGGGTGAATGATAGGTACATGACTACATGTAATTAAAATCTACCTGATCGTGACATGAGCCAAGCCAACTGTAAGTGAAAGAATGAATATGACATGTACCAGGCGTATTGCAAGGCAAATGATGAATAGTTGAGCATTCAGAAAATGAACAATTGTGCAATCTGTACGAAAAGGTGTTTCCAAGCAACATTTGTAAAGTGATAGAAGATAATTGAAGGGGATGGGTCTGTAATGGATTTCTTTTTCAAACCTTACTGATCAAAATTCATACCTCATTTATCATTATTGTGTTTGCAGAAACGTACCCCTCAGTGACATAATTGAGGTACATATAATTGTAGAACCAAACAGCGGAAGAGTGGAAAGCGGTGCTCCTCGCTATCTGAATGAGGCAAACATGATCAAGGGAGGTAAGCAAAGGGATACCCGGAAGTGCACAAGTGCACACCGCTCCACAATGACGTTATTAAATCCACAGCCTCTGTATAGACTCGGTGACGTCATAAAAGTGGAGATCAACACTTATAATCATTACGGCGAGAAGCAAACAGTTGGCGGCGATTTCTTTAGATTATGGATGGAAAACACAGAGGACAAAGTTGCAGTTGCTGGAGACGTCTTCGACAACAACAACGGCAGCTACACGGGTTTTCTCAGAGTCCAGTGGTCAGGCATGGGAAGGATTCGCTGCTTTCTTGAGCGTCGTAGGGAGGAACTAGCGATGTTCTATTCCATAATGGCTGAACATGGAACGTTGTGGCAGCTGAAACGGGAGTTCGGGTGGGGCTTCTTGGTGAAAGAGAGTACGAGCTGCAGCATGTTACGGAACCACCTAAGAGACATCTGCAACTTTACTTCTCTAAATGACGGTTTCCCGTGGTACTGTGAAAAGCCAAAGAATTCACTCTTTAGCTGCGACACCTACAGTAAGTCCTGGTCCCTGAATGTTGCATATCTCCCGAAGGAAAATCAGCAGCGTGACATATACTATTTGTAAGTATGATTTTATTCGTTCTATTTTATTTTGTTCCTTAATATAAACCAGATTGTGTCGTTACCAATTAGAGATCGATCCCGTGCAAAACATAAGCAATTCAGATGTTTAGAACTTTTGTTAAAGCAGATTACAGTGTTTTTTTTGTTTTCACTTTGACGCTGATACTTTGAAATGATTTCAGTTGTCAAAATATAATACAGAAGGGGCTTTCCATATGTGAAAACATACATACATACATACACACATACACACACACACACATACATACATACACATACATACACACACACACAAAAAAACCATACATACATACATACATACATACATACATACATACATACATGTGACATACATACATACATACATACATACACACATACATACATACACACACACACACACACACACATACATACATACATACATACATACATACATACATACATACATACATACATACATGCTCTATGAACATATAACGTAGCCTTTCAAGGATATCATCAACAAGTTAAACCTTAGTTGCATCACCCATCCCTGCAAGTGACAGAAAGAAACCTGCCTGTTTCAGATCCTCTAAACCAGACAATGATTTCCTTCTCTCCACCTTACAAATAACTAGCGAAAGGGGTAAGTATGCGTCTAATACTTATCAAATATCAAACTATGCAATATTCCAGTTATAACATTAAAAAGTTCATGTTTTTTAACACCACATTCAGAAGTATTCCAGCTATATTGCAGTGGTCTGTACATGATCGAATCTGGATTAGACAATCCAGTGATCAACATCTGGAGCATCGAACTACGCAAGTGGGATACATGTTTCAATCAAGTCAGTGAGTCTGACCACCTAATTCCTTTAGTCGCCTCTTACGACAAGCACGGGTTTCTGAAGACCAATTCCTACCGGGATCTTCTGGTGAATCGCATATTCAGATCAAAATAAGTAAAGGACCAACCAAAACCTATATATTTATCTTGCAGTTTGTTGCTCGCATGATGCTCGCATGTTGCTTAAATTATCCGTCGTGACAAGATCACAACTTTTCCAGGTCTTATCAGTATGTGAACAGGATATTGATGCGAATGCGAGTATGGTTTTAAGCCGCTTTTTTAGCAATATTCCAGCAATATCACGGCTGGGGAAACCAGAAATGGACTTCACAAATTGTACCCATGTGGGAATATTGATGAGTGTGTTTGACGTTGAACAAAAAAGGAAAAAGGCAAAACATCCAAATAGTGGAGCGGTTAAGCAGATAAAATGTGCACTTAATGATAAAAGCATGAAAGTTTGCACATTTATAGACTGATACATAGTGAACATTTTAGGATATGGGAGGCACTCAAAATAATTTAATTTGCGCATGCGCAGTAGATAAATAATATTTTGCCTCTTCTGGCTCCCGATTATAGCTATGGGCCTGCCATCAATTTACAATAATGGGACGACTTAAAAAATACTGACCCAAAATACTGGTTAAAACATCTTGAAAACATAGCTGAGTCAATGTTATGAACACTGGCTCTCGCACCAGTGCATGTAAGTGAGGACACTTGCATCGGTTGTTACATCCCTTTGTACTGACAAGATACCAACTCCTGACAAGATTCTGGTGTAGTGTCGTCCAGTAGGGAACATACTATCCACTTTCCTTCTGTATCACTCACTTTGAGATGGGAGTTCAGGCTGTGGAAGAATGACATGACCTGCCTGGTAAGCTGCCCTTTGACATGCTGTACATGTGTTGATGGGATGGCATGAATTGAATTTTTCTTCGCAAATAATATCAAATAAAAGTGATTGAACATAAAAAGAAAAATATCCCTAAAGCATCCTTCCATGATGGTAGGGAACGAGCAGTTGCCATATAGTGCTCTTTGGTTTTTACTTCAATGTGGGTTTGTAAGCAGAGGGAGGTTCTAAGCCTACATCTCCGTGTGCTCGAAGTATCACCGATCTCATCAGAAGGATATCTTAGTTGTTTTGGATACTTCTGCTGTGACATCTCTCATGAGCGGGATGAAGAGTCGTCTTAACTTCCTGACGTCTGGTGCTCGTTCTACGTAGATAGATGCGTGGGACTAAGACCAGACGCAGTGGTAAAGTCTTCCTTATCTTCATTGCCAGAAGCATTGAAGATAATAGTGGGATGTGAAACTGTCCGTCTGGCTGATTTTGGCAATAAAATCCAAACGGAGGCCAAGATGCACAGATGTATTGGGACCTTTATCAAATCTGGTGAGGCTGAGGTCTATAGAATGGAATTCTGACATTCTGAGTGAGTTCAGAGCCTTCACCATGTTGATGAAACAGAGCTGATGGGTGCTAAGAGCCCAGTCTTGAGATTTTGAGGTTTCGAGGTTGTATATCGGCTGGAATCTCCTTACTTCACAGCAAATTGGTCAAGACTCTTCCACTTATCATCAAACAGGCTTCAGGGTAGATCTGCATAGAGACCGGAAAACTTCTGCTCTGCTGGAATAACCGCGCCTGGTTAAGTTCTTCTTGATATGCTCCATGCGTGCAGATCAGAAGACACTCGGATTTTGATACTGCTTCTTCATGTGAGGGATAAGTTAGAAGGTTTGAGAACCGGATTGCCTGCTAGCTGGATGAGTTGGCTGTCCTGGTCTTCAATGACCGATTGGTCAGTCGAGGGGCCCAGTGGTTAATTGCTCCGGATAACTGCCTAATCTCGGTGATTGATGTGAAGTGCTTCTCTTCTGGAGACCACAGCCCTGAGGTTACATCTGTGTCGAGGTGTGCTCCCCAATCCTGTAGAGACGCGTCTACTCACAGATGCAGGTTGAAATTTAAGCTCGCCCAGAAGATCTTTGCGCCGGACCTTTGATTTCATCGTCCACCACTGGAAATACTCTGGTAGGTGATGTGGTAGTTGTGGTCTGAGTCCTGCTGGACCAGCAGTCAGGCTAGAAACCTCTGGTTGGGTCTTCGTGAGTGATTGGGATGACGTTGGGCAGCAATCGTAGCGTGTAATTCAACTGACGTTTGAGTTTAACGGCTTGTTGAAGTGATTTAATGCCATTGTCTTTCCAAGGCGTTCCGACTAGCACCTTTACCTGTCAGGTAGATGGTATTTTACCTGTCGGTATCCCGTACCTGGGATGGTGTGTCGTTACCTGAACTACGGTATACCCCGTACTTCGGTCCTGACGATATGGGATGAGCGAGAGGTACAGTGTCAGTACCCGGGGCCCTTGGAACTCTACCGTAGTTCATCCAGCAAACACAAGACGATGATCTTCGTTCAATAGTTTTTATTGAAACTGTGTTGCTGGTCAACCTACTCTATGGTCACTCTATAAGACTTCAGCCGCAAAGCTTCAGTCTTAAGCCAAAATGCTGGTGCTTCAAGATAATTTCTCAGACGGTTCCTAGTGACCAACAGCAAGAGCAGGCCCGCACCAGACTGCCGTTTCTGATCTTTGCTCCCGCTTAAACCTGGGTTCCTACGTCACAGCCAACACCTTTTCCTTTTTTTCTATTGGTCAATAACCCATAATCTGACTATCTATTACTCTCCCCCACCTCTATTTCGTACCTCCACTACCATTTTTGTACGACCGTGAGGTGGATTCCAGGAAACTCAGGGTCTCTCTCCCCTAACCATATATGGCTCGTAGAATACTAGGAACTGGTGGCCAGGTCCCCGGCCAGGTCCCCGGCCACGTCGCCCCATCTTGATAGTATAGTTGCTTTTTCCTCTATCTAAGCTATGAGTCATTCCCCCCTATGCACTCATCAGCTCCAGCGACCTACTTTCATGTTCATTACCTACATTACTGACTTTCTACCTTACCTCCCACCTTACAACGTTACCACTCACTTCATATCTTAAATATCTAAACTCTCCCAATTTGTATCTTCTGCCCCCTTAATCCCCTGTCATTAATAATGTTAATTGTATATCTCTTATTGTAATAAAGACCATAATCTCATGCCTATAATACGGCCCTGGTTTTTAGAGGGGGTAGAACAACTTTAATTTCATGACCAGCTGTTCTACTGGGTAGGGGCCATCCGTCTCTTTAATACTGGAGACGGAGGCGTTCAGGAAGGTCAGGCAATGCTGACTCTGTTCCTAAATAAAACAGACCATTGATTCCTCCGGGACCACTTTAACTCTCCGGGGCGGTAGTAATTTGTCAACGTCATGACGCCATATCGGCTTAAAAGCTGCTGGGTGGGAACAACACTGGATGCTGGCGGAGGGTGGACGACATGTCGTCCGGACACCGATAAACGGCTCTCATAGGAACCCTGTAATCCGGGCACTGGTTGACATTCAACCAACTTGGGAGACGTGGAGTGGGGACCCCAGCCAAAAAGGCCTTCCAACCCGTCCATGCCGTTGCCTTTGGGGTACAACCAGGCATATGTATGTTTGCTCCCCTGGTGCCATGTCATTTCGTGTCACCTGGCGGAAATCGGAACCCAGCTTACTTTCAAAAAAGTGTGGCCGCACACCCTGTGTGTTGAACACGTCGACACTTCATTTGCAGAATGTGAGCGCAGAAATTTCCCTACGGGTGTCTCGGATCGGGAATATTTCCTGAGTACACCAGGGCGCAAACCCTCAGTGCCTCCTTTACTGAAGGAAAATCCCATCCTACTTTCATGGAAGCTGGACGCCAGCTCGCCTGACCCCTGTTGCCACCTCTTTATCCGATGTTGGATTAGAGAGGGCTTTCCAAACCCTTGTTCTCGGAATGGGTAGCAGTTGCAAAGGATTTCGCCAGAATCTCTCGTAGTTCCGCACTCTATGCTCAGTATGGAGTTGAGTCAATTGGAATAGAATGGTCACGTCCCTGTCCCTAAACGCCGCTTTAACGGTTCAGACCACGAGGAGGGAAAAATCAAAGTACAGGCCATACATCAGGGCAGCACCTACCGGATATCCAAAGCCTGATCTATATTTTCTGGATGGACGGGTCTCTCGCGGCTAGGCGTGACGGTCTCGCTTACGGCTACAATT